TAGACATCTACTATTATTCTGGACTAAGATGGAATGCCTCATTTCCAGTAAAAAAAGGATCTCCGGATCTCTACACTAACCATTCGAAACATAGCAGTACTAAGCTGAAAATCTAAGAATTTTACGACGGTATTCTGTGAGAGCATGATCCTTCTCCGGTCGACCCGACCTATTCGTGCTACAACATAATATAACTGCAGCGTGGCTCTACCAAAATCTACTACTAAAATCGATATGAGTAAGTATCGATATTTTTAAAACGGCTCTAAATAAGTATCGATAGTTCCATTTCTAACAATCCCTAAATCCAACTGAAAATCCCTAAGTCCTACTTAAAAACCGTAAGTCCAATAGGTTTTGTTTTAAGTCCAAACATATTTTTAGTACTATTCTTCCATTAACATTAAATATTTTAGATTATCAGACGTTATTTTTAAAGAACTCCCTAAACGTTATTCTTTGACAACCATTCGTAATTTAAACTTTTTACAATTTCTTTTCGAGAACTAAAATCTAATACCTTTAAACGAGCAATTATTGTTATATAATATATATATATATATATATATATATATATATATATATATATATATATATATATATATATATATATTATATATATAAATATTATATATAAATATAAAAATAGTTGGTCGTCCTTCAAACATGCCCCAAGCTCAGGCAGTCATAGCCGAGATCCAGAAGGAAGCCAAGCAGTACAACCGCATCTACGTTGCCAGGCAGACGTTGTTCTGCCCTTTCCTTGACAATTTGTCATGTCCTATAAAATCCTTAAATTCGCCAAAAAAATTGTGTGCAAAAAACTATCCTATCTCTCAAGTTGGACCAAACTGGACAAGGTGTGCAAATTTGATTAAAATCGGTTAACCCCTCGTCTGTCCAAATGCCGTATTCTGGCGTCTCAAATAATATGCGCATCTGTCTAACGCCATAATACGGCGTCGAGTGATAGCAAACTATTTCTAACATATATATGATATATATATAATATACATATATATAACATATATATCTATTATGAATAATCTGATAGCTTATTTAATAACGTATCCATTGATATATAATTTTAATATACTTAGTATTATATATACTTAGTATACTTGTTATATACTTACTTAGTACTTCGGAAAGTGCTCGACAGATGCGCCATTTTGGCCAAAATGACCGTACAACAACTAGTTAATTAAGTAGATTAGAAGTCCATCGTGGACAAACAACGTGACATGTAAATTATAATATATTAAGATATAATATGAATATAAAAACACGAAAAATTAAATTAAACTAATTGCAATACAGTGCCGTGTAGTGGCGGTTGAGAATATCCACTATCCCATATCTTCCCGTGGGTTTCGTAAGAGGCGACAGAGGGACACAGAAAGGAGATGGGAAGCAGCATCTTCCTAATAACAACAATAACATAATAAAAAAATGCGGTTGCCAACCCGCTCGCCAAGCGTGGCAACTATGACAAATATCCCCCCATGAGCAAAGACGCAGATAAACGGCCCCCAGTCCCCGCTATTCCTGGCTACGGTGGCGACCATGATAACGGCGGGGCAGGGGGTGCTAAGAATCTCCGGTGGAGGTTCGGTTGCCACCTACGACGACTCGAACTGTCGTTCGACAAAAAATGAGATTGACTTCATTATGACGACTAGACGCCAACTGTTCAGTGATGTCTCAGTGATCGCAAGGGTGAAAACCGGCAGCGATCACCGAATGGTTAGAGGCACACTGAACCTAAACGTTAAGTTGGAGAGGTCTCGTCTAATGAAGTCAACGCTCCGTCCCCGTCGTGCTCTGATCCAGAATCCCGAGACTTTTCAGCTCGAGTTACGTAACCGCTTTCAGTGCCTAGAAGATTGCAATGCAGTGGACGATATGAATGACAAGCTCGTGGAAACTGTCCATGCGGTCGGAGCTAAGTTCTGCAAGACCTGCCGCAGAAGAACACAAAAACTCTCCGATCACACTCTTAATCTTATGGCTGTTAGACGGGAGATGAGACTGTAACCGTCAACAGATTTCACAGCATACAGGCAACTGAACAGACAGATCTCCAAATGCATACGGCAAGACTTACGCAACTTTAATACTGCTCGTATTAAAGAAGCGATCGAGCGGAACCATGGCTCCAAAGTCTTTGCCAAAGATCTGTCTGCCAGAAAGAGCCAACTGTCAAAGCTGAAGACTGAGTGTAGCAGCATCATTTCCGAGACACCTGAGATTTTGAGTGAGATTGAGAGATGATATGGGCAGCTGTACACATCATCGTTGGAGCCACACGCAAGTGTGAGTAACGATCCAAGAGCAATTCTTACCCGACACTATTCCGATGATATCCCGGACGTCAGTCTGAGCGAGATTAGAATGGCTCTCCAGCACCTTAAAAACGGCAGGGTCCCAGGCGAGAATGGAATTACAGCGGAGCTTCTGAAAGCGGGTGGAACACCGGTACTTGAAGTCCTTCAGAAGCTCTTCAATTACGTGTCTAGTGGCACTACACCGGAGGCGTGGAGCAGAAGTGCGGAGGTCTTGTTCTTTAAGAAAGGCGACAACGCTCTCTTGAAGAACTACAGACCGATTTCCCTTCTGAGCCACGTCTACGTGCTGTTTTCGAGAGTCATTACGAATCGTCTCGCACGCAGACTCGACGACTTCCAGCCTCCCGAACAAGCCGGTTTCCGAAAAGGCTTCAGTACCCTAGATCACATATATACCCTGCGGCAGATTGTACAGAAGACCGAAGAGTACAATCTGCCACTTTGCCTGGCGTATGTGGACTATGAGAAAGCCTTTGATTCCGTCGAAATTTGGGCGGTGCTACAGTCCCTTCAGCGGTGCCAAGTTGACTGTCGGTATATCGAAGTACTGAAGTGTTTGTACAGTAGGGCTACGATGGCTATCCGAGTACAGAATCAGAGCTCGAAACCTATCCAACTGCAGAAAGGTGTAAGACAGGGTGACGTTATATCCCTGAAACTCTTCACCGCTGCATTGGAAGACGTTTTCAAGCTACTGGACTGGAAAGGATAAGGTATTAACATCAATGGCCAGTACATCACTCACCTTCGATTTGCCGACGATATAGTTCTTATGGCTGAATCGCTGGAGGACCTTATCACTATGCTCAATGACCTCAATGGTGTCTCCCAACGGATAGGTCTTAAGATGAACATGGACAAAACAAAGATCATGTTTAATGTCCATGTCACACCTATGCCGGTAGTTGTTGGGAGCACTATGCTCGAAGTTGTTGACGAGTACGTTTACCTGGGACAAATAGTCCGACTAGGTAAGTCCAACTTCGACCGAGAGGTCAATCGACGGATTCAACTCGGCTGGGCAGCGTTCGGGAAATTACGATACATCTTCTCGTCAGGTATACCTCAATCTCTGAAAACTAAAGTGTACAAATAGTGCGTGTTGCCAGTGATGACTTACGGATCAGAGACGTGGTCCTTCACTGCTGGCCGTATGAGGACGCTCAAGGTCGCTCAGCGAGCTATGGGGAGGGCTATGCTCGTAGTTTCTCTGCGTGATAGACTCAGAAATGAGGATATCCGCAGTAAAACCAGAGTGACCGACATAGCCCAACGGATTAGTAAGCTGAAGTGGCAATGGGCCGGCCATATAGCTCGAAGAACCGATAACCGATGGGGAAGAAAGGTTCTCGAGTGGCAGCCTCGTACTGGTAGGCGTAGTGTAGGGCGACCCCCCACTAGATGGAGTGACGACCTGGTAAGACATGCAGGAAGTCGATGGATGCAGGTGGCTCAGGACCGTGCTTTGTGGCGTTACTTGGGGGAGGCCTATGTTCAGCAGTGGACTTGTGAAGGGCTGTAATGATGATGATGATGATGATGATTAATTGCACTCATGATTTTTTTAATTTAATAAGCAGTTCAGTTTTTTAATTATGTCGGTATAATCAAAAAATATTATTCATATTTCATCAGTATGTAATTTGTATCTAAATATAATTTACAAAAACACGCTTTACAAAAAATACCGGTCATCCAGGTACTAAAAGTTTATATGCGAAAATTCCAAAACAGAAAAAATTACTAAGGAACATCTTGAAATAGACCATTCAAATAGATTCAGAATCCAAATTTAGAAATAACTAAAATAAAGCTTTTTAAACACTGGTGATTGGGACACTTCTAGATTTTTTACACCAAAGGCTGCAGAACTATGTCAGCTTGCTTTATTTTAAGACTCGCTTCTAGAGTAAATCGATAATACAGTGGTGACACAATTCATGTCCATTAAAAATCTCAGTATGTTTAATGTTTAACTACTAGAAATGACTAAAAATAATAAAATTGGCGGGGTCCAATATACTACTAAATTTATATAAGTGATTGATTTTACTATAATCCATTGAATCAAAAACACTCCAGGTTCGATGCTGGTAATAAAAATAACAAATGGAGTGATGGAGTGTTTTATGCTATCACGTAGCAGTTATATTTAATATTATACAAGCTTTTTTGTGTACGTAAAACGATATAATCGATTAAGGTATTTTTTTTCCCCGATCCGTAGCTTATCAGTGATCTTATATAAATTTCAACCATATCCTATACCTATATAATGGCTGGTAAATACGAAAACGTATTAAAAAAGTATTTCAATTATATGTAAGTTACTATAAATGTAGCTTAAAATTATTTTGTTATTTCATCATCTTCATCGTCATCATTATTAGACATAAGTCATCCCCAAATTAAAATAAATTTGTTAACGCCATTCTTGAACACTTTTCTCTAGAACAGTCTGTCGCATTTATTAATCGGCCACACCAGCCAGGCCTATTACAAAAAGTAGAGCAGTAGTTCCGAGAGGATTTAATTAGCAACATTGTGTTTCATTGCAATTTTATTTATTTATGTTCTGAACATTTATTTCTTTGTCTCTTATACTGTTTAAAAGTAAGCGGTCATATTAAATGTTCTTTGTGTTCTCTCCAGGCAACTATAGCGACAGAAATACCTCTGCTCATCCTGGGTGCTATCGCAATAGCAGGCGGGTGCTTGTGCATGTTATTGCCCGAATCCACAGGGAAGGAAATGCCGCAGACAATCCAAGATGGCGAGAACTACGGCCGAGGACAAAAATTCTGGGAGATGCCCGTCTTTTCTAAGTAAGAGTATAGAATTTTTGGAAATTTACGCAATATTTAATAAAATATAAGCTTTGCTCGAAATTTCACACAATTTCACATACCCACATAAATTCTACAAGGACAGACATCCAGACCCGGAACAATGATTTGCAGGCCATACAAATACTTTTCCTTGCGGAATTCGAACCCGCGGCTCTTTATCGCTGCAGGTCATTGCTATGCCACTGCGCAACAGAGCCGTCTTGTAGACAGACTTTCAAAGATTGCAAAAGGCAATCTGCACACCGGGCGTAGCGGATTAAACAAAACATCCTTGAAATATATGTAATGATAGGGGTAAACATAGGGTCTGTTTTTGTAGTTTTAGGCTAGTGCCAGTTTATTAATATTGCTTGAAAAATTCGGCTGCACTACATAGAGTGACGATGTGAATATATATACGCAGGTACGGATATAATATGCCAAATGCGTTGAAAATTGTAATGTTTTTAATTAGTATTTTATTTTACCATCAATTTGATAGATTTCATACTAGATATCATTATTTATTAGTCAGTAGTTTTCTTATATTTAGGTTAGTTATCACATCGCATTAGTTTAACAACTGTAATGATGTTGTAATTGTGTATTAAATAAATAAATAAATACGATGGAAGGCCTATGTTCTCCGACTATCTAACGCTATTATTAATCACATGCATTGTTATAAAAATTCATGTACCTTAATCAAAAAACTTATGAAGATCTAAATTTAAGTTACTTTTTTACAGGAAGACAAAAGCTGTGAGTGCAGATCTAAGCAAGATTTAAAAACAAACATTTAAAGGTTTATAAATATAATTACTAATTTTCTTAAAGATTTTACGGAGTAAAAATTAAAAAAAAGTAATAAAAATATAAACAACGAAAACTGTTTTTTTTTTTCATGGTATCTCCACTGTGCAATCCGTCCCGATGTGATAGTTAACCCGGTGTACCTTTAGCTTTTTAATTATTACTTTTAGTCCAAACTACGCAAAATATGTGAAGTCTTGCAGTGGTATACTTGGGTTTAATTTTAATTTTATTAATTACAGGATCCCAAGCAGTTGGTATAACCCAGCCTCTTACTCTATTAATTAGACTGTTTTCTTTTTAATTTCAATAGCCTCACGTATCATTCATGGCAGGAATTGATGTTCTTTCGCGAGAATTTGTATCAAATCTGATGTAATGATGAAAGCCATCTAGGATAAAAAAGCAAACTGCAGCCTTTCCTTGAGTTTGAGTTCCCTTCACTTGAGTTTGTAATAATTAAAAACCTGAAGATACCCCAGGTTAACCCTAACATCGGTACAACAATCACCTCAATCCCTCGTGAGTATGGGTGATGGACAGCACCCGAAATATCGGGAATTAAAAATAAGTACAATTAAACGCGATAAAGTGATAAACTTAGAAATGAGGATATCCGAAGTAGAACCAGAGTGACTGACATAGCCCAACGGATTAATAAGTTGAAGTGGCAATGAGCTGGCCGTATAGCTCGAAGAATCGATAACTGATGCGGAAAAAAGGTTCTCGAGTGGTAGCCTCGTACCGGTGGGCGTAGTGTGAACCCTCATTAGATAGACTTAAAAAAATTTCACGTTTTTTCACGATGTTTTCTTCATCGCCGAGCACGTGTCAGCACTTGCAATCAGCACTTAAAATTGCAATTAACAATTTCATTGGTGCCGGCGGGAATCTAACCCGGGTTGCACACGGGCTAAGCGAACGTTTAACAGCGAGCGTTTAGCCCAGAGCTACCACGGCTCGAAAAAAAGACGTCCGTTCGTCAGCGCTGCTGCTCAAGGAGTCCACGATCGCATAATCAATCCCGATTGTTAAACAAAAGAAACCTATCACACTATCGAAAAACCACTCTGAATTGAGTTTTTTTTTTTTTTTTTGTTTTATCTCGAAAACTGCGTGTGATATAGGAAAATGTTTTAATTAAATTTAAAGATCAAATAATTTTACGTAAAACTGTCTTCGTTTAATTCTTTTCACTCAAAATTTTGTTGTATTATGGTGTTGCAGTAAAAAAAATTATAAAAATTAATTTACAACAAAATTATTTTACTGTGTAAAATTTCCAAATCAAAAAAGTTTTGTTCCAAAAATTATATATTTTATAGTGTACATATAATAATAATGTCCTCCAGACCGAATTTCGGTCACGGCGGCCAGTCTCAACGGTGACTAGCCATCGGCGCAGGACAGGATTATAGTGCCCAATGTATGCGTAACAGGTGCACTCTCTATCTCCTCACTCTCATAATCTGATTGGATGGTAAACCGACACGACCGGAGAGAGATCAGGTGCAGGACCAACGGCTTTACGTGCTTTCCGAGGCACGGGGTGAGACACCGTCGTAACTCCGGGCAGCTGCTGATAATTTCTTGACGGAAAAGTCAATAATTGATTTTTGACCCTACCCGGGATTCGAACCCAGGACCCCATGATCACCAGTCACACTACTGCAACCACAAGACCAACGTGGCAGTTAGTGTACATATATTACTATATAGTATAGGTAACCACGATAAACCATTTGTTTTATCTATTTTATCGCAATCGATTCAGCCATTTCGAAGACTAGTACGGATGGACAGACAGAAAAAAATTTCACGCATGAATACAAAAAATAACCCACTGAGCTTATTAAGATGGCATTTATTTCATATTATGGACAGGAATTTAGTTTTTAATTATATGTATACGTTATCTATTTCTTTTTAGTTTTCTCTTTTTTTAAACTAGCAACGCTATTTACATTATTAATATTCCCTGTAACTTCCCTGACTGCCTCGTTGATCTAGTGGGGGTCGCGTGTTCGAATCCCGGGGCGGTCCAAAATTATCAGTTATTGAGTATTTCCGTCAATCAATTCTCAGTATCTGACCGGAGCCAAGAAACTGACGGTGTCTCACCCCGTGCCTCGGAAAGCACGTAAAGCCGTTGGTTTTGCGTCCGATCTCTCTCCGGTTGTTTCACTCACCACACGAAACACAGCAGCATTACGCTACTAGTTAGTCGCAATATGCTTAAGAGACCCTCAAGTATCGAATGCCACGTTTGTTTAGTGGTCGATTACCGATCATAAGGTCCCGGGTTCGAATCCCGCGTTAGGGTAAAATCAGGTATAATGGGTTTTCCTGTGCTGTGAAATTCTCATTAGCAGCCCGGAGTCAGGAAGGTTGCGGTGTTCTGACCCTGCGCCTTGGAAAGGACGTAAAGCGGTTGGTTACATGCCGGGCGAACCGATGGGACGGTAATTCAATGTGACCGGAGAGAGCTCCTGTCATGTTGGATTACCGTTCCATCGGTTTATGACAGTGAGGGGATCATAGATTACTGTATATATACTAGGAGGGGATAGAGTGTGCACCTTTTCTTACGTATACACTTGGTCACTACAATCCTGTACCGGCTAGTCTCCGTTAAGGCCACCGTGACTGAAATTCGGTCTGTCTTATTAGTGTTATAACTGCAGCACGCATATAGGAAAATGTTTTAATTAAATGTAAAGATCAAATAATTCTACGTAAAACTGTCTTCGTTTTATTCTTTTCACTCAAAATTTTGTTGTATTATGGTGTTGCAGTAAAAAAAAATTATAAAAATTCATTTACAACAAAATTATTTTACTGTGTAAAATTTCCAAATCAAAAAAGTTTTGTTCCAAAAATTATATATTTTATAGTGTACATATAATAATAATGTCCTCCAGACCGAATTTCGGTCACGGCGGCCAGTCTCAACGGCGACTAGCCATCGGCGCAGGACAGGATTATAGTGCTCAATGTATGCGTAACAGGTGCACTCTATCTCCTCACTCTCATAATCTGATGGGATGGTAAACCGACACGACCGGAGAGAGATCAGGTGCAGGACCAACGGCTTTACGTGCTTTCCGAGGCACGGGGGTGAGACACCGTCGTAACTCCGGGCAGCTGCTAATAATTTCTTGACGGAAAAGTCAATAATTGATTTTTGACCCTACCCGGGATTCGAACCCAGGACCCCATGATCACCAGTCACACTACTGCAACCACTAGACCAACGTGGCAGTTAGTGTACATATATTACTATATAGTATAGGTAACCACGATAAACCATTTATTTTATCTATTTTATCGCAATCGATTCAGCCATTTCGAAGACAAAAAATAACCCACTGAGCTTATTAAGATGGCATTTATATAATATTATGGACAGGAATTTCGTTTTTAATTATATGTGTTATATGTATACGTTATCTATTTCTTTTTAGTTTTCTCTTTTTTTAAACTAGCAACGCTATTTGCGTTACTAATATTCCCTGTAACTTCCCTGACTGCCTCGTTGATGACTGCAGCACGCATCACTCTATGGCGTCCATCTCTGAACACATTAACATCATTGCATACAGTTCATGTTGCGTATTCCTATTATGGAGTCAGTCTTGGACGAGCACAGTAGTGTGCACAGTGTGCTCTATATCAACCCTTTCCCTATCCCACGAATCATATATGAACTTTATAATTGTTTAATTATTGTATCTGTTTCGGGAACTGGGTAACTGTTAATATATTAATCCTCTGTAGTATATACGTTGTATATAGTTTATCTTATACACGTGGTAGAGCCATGCTGCAGTTATATTAGTAGTATAGTTGTAACACGAATGGGTCGGCTCGACCGCGGAAGGACCAAGCTCTCACAGAATACCAGCGTCAAATAGTAGCTTAAAAGTACGGTGAGTGTAGAAAATCGGAGACCCTTTACTAGAAACGAGGCATTCCATTTTAGTCCTCAAGGATGATAACGATCTACATTTTGATTCGTAATCGAGTATTAAAAAGAGTATAGACATATTAGAGAATTTGCGAAAATTTATGTAGTTGGCCAAAAGACAGAATTTTCTTCTTCTTTATTACCTCTTCAAAATTCACTGCTGAATACGGGCCTTTACCTTTTCAGGGAGGGTTAAGGCTTTGATTACCATTGGGCCTTCAACGCTCTTCCCCGTCTCCGGTATGCAAATTTCATAACTGACGTTACAAGATGAGTATCCCGCCGTCAGTCGAAAGTCATAAGATGTTTGCTTTTTCCATAATCTCCTCTTATGAGACCCATGGGTCACAATGGGTTTTCAGATTCTCCTGCACTGCAACCACACGGCAGTTGTAGTGTTAATGCCACCATATGCAGTAACAAATACACGACAAACAGCAAAATGAGGCTCAACAACCAAGAATCTTTATTCTTTCACAAATAATGTTAGCTCTAGCTGAGTTCTTTTTTTATAGGTTAAGATGATAAACGAATACACAGTCCACCTGCAGCCTGTGGGCGTCTACATTTATTCTCGATTTAAAAATCAAAATAGATACTTTGTCACCTTGAGAACGAAGATGGAATGTCTCGTTTCCGATTTATAGGCTCTCCGATTCTCTAAACTACGAAATACAGCCGCTTTTAGTTGCTATTTTACGCTGGTATTCTGTGAAAACGTGCTCCTTTCCCGGTCAAGCCGGCCCATTCGTGCTACAACCATAATATAGCTGCAGCATAGCTCTACTACATACGAGCTCAAAATTAGAGCCCGCAAAATAAGAAGAACTCTGACCACTAGCCCGTCGTTAATAGCTGTAAATGTGCGTCAGTGAAACAAGGAACAAAACTCTAGCAGTGCTGTTTGAAACGCGCTTAATTGTTTATAAATATGGCTATCGCGCCAAAAGGAGGCCTAAATCTGTACTCGGTCAAGGAAAAAATAAAATTCATTGTGAATAAACAAAAACAAATAAAAGTTGAAGCCAAAACGAAATCATCAATGGATAACCGTAAACAAATAGTGTGGTAACACATTTAATACTTGTATCGATAAAATTTATTTATGTACATTTACTCGTATCATTGAAATGCTAATTTATAATAAAGTTATGAAGGCGTGCGACATAAGGGATTGCTCGACGAACACAGCTAGAATAAAAATACGAAATTGGTTGCTTACGCTTAGTTATGAACTAACAGAAAAGCTAACATTGTCATTGTAGCTACGGCCAAATATTGATATTGATATTGTCATTATAGCAGTAATTGCAAATTTAAAATATTGTAATATTAACAAATTATAATCTCTATGTGTGTGTATGTATGTATATATGATATATATATATATATATTTATATTATGTAATGTGTGTATATATGTTTAAGTATATGTTTATATTTATAGACCATAAATAAATTGGATTAGTAAGCTGAAGTGGCAATGGGCCGGCCATATAGCTCGAAGAACCGATAACCGATGGGGAATAAAGGTTCTCGAGTGGCAGCCTCGTACCGGTAGGCGTAGTGTAGGGCGACCCCCCACTAGATGGAGTGACGACCTGGTAAGACATGCAGGAAGTCGATGAATGCAGGTGGCTCAGGGCCGTGCTTTGTGGCATTACTTGGGGGAGGCCTATGTTCGGCAGTGGATTTGTGAAAGGCTGTAATGATGATGATGATGAAATAAATTGGAGTAGATATTTAAACGGAAAGCTTTGTAAAGTCAGCCGTGCACAAATTTCTGTTTTTTGTTAATATGGTTCTCACGATCGTTCACGCGATTTTAACGTGCCTAGTGTGAGAACCACTGCTAAATTATTTGTAAAGGTGCTATCTGTTAAATAAAGTATTTTTATTTTCATTTTCATGTATATGATTATTTAACCTCTAGTAATTTCTTTAATTATTTTATCAATCTTTTTTATTCCAACGCAAGATAATGGGCTTTATTAGAAAGAATAGCTACGTGAAATATTATTCATCACTTAAAAGATGTTTCTTTACCCACCAATGAGCTTTCAGTCCAATTAATGGCAAAGATATGCCCAAAGACCCGCAACTAACCTTGAAAAAAGGTTACAATTGCGTTCTCTTTAGTGAAGTCTAAGATAAAATGTCTTGGCAACTATTTTGTTGCCAAGACATTTTATCGTAGCTGCACTGCTGCTTAGAATAGAAACAATAAGAGGTTAGTACCAAACTAAAGAGCGAAATAATACACAGAATATTATTTTTAATAACTATCACCTTTTAAAAATTTGATGCAAATGTGTTATCACAACACATTGTTACATGGTAACGTGTCTCTACAACGTACTATTCAAACCTTCCCACACAACCCTTGAAAATGGTAGTAATTTGAAATTGGCGTTTACGAATGGGCACACCGCCATTTATCTATCGTAGTTGTCTCGCCGTCCGTCAAAATTTTGCGCATGATGATGAGGTTACATTTTTAGATTAATTTATATATTTTTCTTACTTAACATATTTTATATTTTACTTAGCAACATTTGAAATAGTTCAAATTGAATACAAATTCACTGTGAACCTTACAAATAATATAAAATATGAAATAAATGCATTTAGCAACTATGATATAGAAATTAAGAAAACTTAAAGTATACGATATTATTTAAATTTTTTACCCAAATTACAAAGTTCCTTTACATTTGTTAATATAAATAGAATACAGCTATCATTTTAATCAATGTATACATAGTCGTAAATTAAAAAAGAAGACTTTCTGAGATGGGAGCGCAAAAAAAATTATCACCCGATTTCGTGCCGTGCTCATGTCAAGCAGTGACTCGTACAGCGGAAGAAGTCTACAGGCTAATGGAGAAAAGTAAAGAAATCAGAATATTCCCATACTGAAGTTCTGTCCTAGGCTGACCCGTCAAGTTCCATATAAGAATATGCTGATTTTTGCATGAATATATAAATTTATTCTAATTAGTGTGTGAATTCGTTTACTCATCTACTCAAAGACTTCATGGATATTTTTGAAAACGATTTACAGGATTTGGCTATTTTCCGAAATTGTAGCAGTGATTATGGAATTGAATACAAATCGTGTTTTATATTTTATAGTATAGATATATAGTCACCTTTAAAACATATCGATGAAAATTATCAGCACCACGTTAAACCGATATTTGTTTATAAACAGACAAAAAACAGCACTCTATATCGGATATCAATTAATACACAAACCCAATTCCTCACAATTGCAAATAGCTCTCATTCTACACGGTTCTCATTCGAGATATGCAATAGTGATAGTGATGTCTAGCATAATCGTAATATCTATATTAAATTTGATCGGTTTCATCACTTCGTCGTATTTGGAAACCGAAACATTTATGAAACCTAAACTAGAAAAGAACAAAATTTTAAATAAAGGCGTATGGATAAAAAGAACTAATAATGATCAACCAACGAAGACGGTATCAGGAGATTTCGTATTCAGGTCAAGTTCTTTAGATGCCGATAGTTTGCTTCTAAATAATTTCGATGCATTTGGTGAAAACTTTATGCAAGACTCTCCAATGGTTCCAAGTTACATTGAAAGGAGCAAAAGATCAGCAGATGGTAAAGCACTTGTTATATATAAACTTTTACCGTATCCCGCGTGTAAGTCCTGTAACAACAAATTCGAATATTGTAAGTGACGACGGTATATAAATAGTATTTAGATCTCGTAATTAATTTCAAAAATTTTTATCCAAAATGTTTATTTTGCGTATAAATTCAAATGGATTTAATGTTTCAAATGTTATAAATATAATTTCGTTATTTCTTTTTAACTTTTACAACAATATTATCGAGTATTTTTTGTAGTGTACTTGTGTGAAACTTACAGTATTACAAATTTTGCCAAGGCTAATAATAATAGAGAATAATTTAATTTTAATGCGTCAAAACAAATAATTTTATAATTTAATTATGACAATAGCTTTTAAATTAAAATAGTTGTTATATTTATTGTGTATATTATTAACTATATTTATTACAGATGAACAATTTTCTAAAGAATATATAGAAAATAGTAATTCAACTGATCTTTTAAAAAGCAACATAAGCAATGATAAAGTCATAACTATGAAGTCTAAATTAATCACTCATCCTAAACTGGTGACAGCCTCCAATGATTATCCGTATGAAGAGGCGATATTATTAACAAACACTAATAAAAGAGAACTAATACGTTCGAAAATTCGATCATCTAAACATGAATCCAATAAAAATATTTCGAATACCAGTACGGACTTGATTTTTAACAGAGATAATTTAGTAAAACTTGAAGACCTTAGTAAGAAACATTATAATAATACTTATCATAATTTTAATGTTACACCTAAACGCAGCATGCAACAAGACTATGAATCTGAAATTATTAAAAAGATTGGATTTACTGAGGAAGTAAACAAAACGGAAGATAGCTACGAGAAAAAAAATGATCGAAATGTGTTTGAAGGTGATGATAGAGCCTGGCATCAAAATGCTCCCGTGCCCGATGTAAATTCATTTAAAATTTTACCTAAAAACGATGAAAATAAAAATAAAAACAAACCAATAACAGAAAAGGGTTTGATAAAGGTTTTATCCATGTTAACAAAAACTTTCAAGAAAGTAATGAAACAGCATAATGATATAAAACGGATACATACTAAACTTAGTACAATTAATGATGAGTTTATGAAAAATGCTCAACTATTAATGACTAAATTTAATGATTTTGATGTCAAGTATTTGTATTTAATGAAATTTAATGAGAATTTAAAAGATTTGGAAGCAAGACTACGAAGCAAAGAAGAATTGTATAACAATAAGGAAGTTGAACTGACAAAGAACTTAGCAGAATTCGAGAATCAACAAAAGAAATTTTTGATTCAACAAAGACAATTTTATAATATACAGAAGCTGATGCTAGCACAAAACGAAAAAATAAACCTTAAACAAAATTTAATAGCAAAAACGCAAAATGAAATATCGTTACGGCAAAATAATTTTGCGCGAATATTGAAAAAAGCTAAACAAATTTATATCGACGCTAAGAATCCAATACCACAGACATTAAATGCAATATTATCTAAACCTAACGATACATCGGAAAACAAAACTAACAATATTGATAAATCAATCTCAACAACATCTACTCAGACGCCTAATACTGAATCAGTTAAAATAAATCTATTGTCAGTTCCTTCAATCAGCCGTATCATAAATTATGATAATCAATTATTAAAAGAGAAAGACGACCATACAGTAGACGATTTAATTTATAAGTATTATTTCAATAACACATACATTGACGTTTTAATGAAAAATAAAATCTTGTCTAGTTTCGTATCTTCTCCTGGAAATCCTTTCACACGTAACGTGAAAGGTAAACGAAACGATCATCCATTATTTATTCAGAAGACCACAAACCTATTTCCTGTGAATAATAATCCTGTGAAGCATTTGAATCGGGAGAAGCGATGGATAAAAAATTCTAAGAGAAATATCAAAAAACTACGTATGGGTAAAGATTTTAATATTTATTCTGATAAGGATAACGTGAAAACAAATCCGAATAAAAACAATGTGTCGTTAGATAAACAGATAGGAAAAACATCGGCAGGGATTAAAACCAAAAAATCTGATAAAGATCCATTTATAACTATGGCAACAAGTTTTTGTAAAGAAATTGGTCAAGATGGAGACGAGCAAATGCTACACTGGTGCGTTGAAAAGGCATTAAGAAGATTACGATTTCTTGGTAAGCTTGAAAACAACACTTATAAAATAATCTTATCTTGCTGCTCTCTTTATGCTACTAAAATAGTTTCTTATACTAATGTCCAATTACTAGCAGATATGAAAATACCGCGGTCAACTGTAACTGCCAAACGCTCTGATCATGATGGAGTAACACCAATTCAGTCAACAACTCTGCAAAAGGACTCGAAAATTAAAGAAATGTCCACAGTATTTGGAGGTAAGCCCCTTAAGCATTTTTTATAGGATAAGGGTGACAAACGAGCACACAGTCCACCTGATGGTAAGTGGATGATGTGGCCCATAGACATCTACATTTAACCTCGACTAAGAAAAAAAAGAGCTGGAAGAGGCCTATGTGTCACAGGACACGCTGATCACTAAACTTGGAAAACCGTTATGCTAGATTATAATTAAGTTCAAACAATCATATACTATGTAAAACAAAATGTTTAGAATCAGCAATAAAGGCTATAAAAAAATAAAAAAAATGTAGATGTGTTGTCACCCTTGAGGACTAAGATGAATGCCTCGAGTCCAGTAAAACGGGTCTCTGGTTCACCATATGAAACACAGCAGCGTTAAGCTGCTATTTTACGCTGGTATTCTGGGAAAGCGTAGTCCTTGCACGGTCGAGCCAACCCATTCATGCTACAACTATAATATATCTGTAGCATAGCTCTAACATGTATAATTTTTTTCATACCATGTGTAAATTCTTAAGTATTGTAGTTGTAAAAATTGATAAACAATGCAAACATTATGTCGATGAGCTAAGATCAATTAGCCTTAGATAGTTCGTCTTTGGCGTAAAATTGACAGACAATAGATACATGATATTTAGAAAAATTATGATCCGATTAATTCTGTTATACTATAAAAAATGGATTTTTACACATCACATCACTTGACAATTATTTTACTTCAAAACGAACCCCCTACACTAAACGAGTATTTGCCGTAATAACAAATGATTCATGGTTCCCATAACGGGATTTTTCACTCGAAACTTACATGCGAGATGTTTATACCACCATCTACGGAAGGCCACAAGTCAGTTCGGACATTTAAATGGTGAATTGTCTTAAGCCTTCTCACGATATTAGAATAGTCTACTATTTAAGATCCATATTTAGGAAAAAAATACCACGTGTTGGAACAGATTAGTCACTTACTTACCCTTACTTTATCGATATGTTTAATTTTATGTATATGTTTTTAACCTTATCTAGAATCAATTCTGATTTTACAGAAATATCTTCAACTACCCCGTCTGCAAGCAATACAGATTACACAATAACTGTTCCCGCTATAACTGCGGCGCAATATACCACAGCTTCCGGAATATTCTTTCCAGGTTGGTACTTTTTACTTCTAAATATTGATATGCCGCTTTTAACATGTTTTTAATCAAGTAAAAGTGTCAAACAAAAACTCAGACCACCTAAGAATCCAAATAATTAGGCGATGACACACCTAAGACCGACGCTGGAATGTCTAGTTATAAAAAAGTCTGCGGTTCTCTTCACAATCATTAATACCATTATACTGTACTGTATTTCACCCTGGTATTATTTGATTAAAGTTATATTGTATTCTTTCATTTTTGTTTATATTATAATTTCTTATTAGTGATGATGTAACTTTTGACCGTCTTGCCTGACTGAAGTCATAATTTATTAACAAAATGTTATGTTACTTTTGTCCAGACGACAATTCATAAGTATGTTAGGATCGGAAGTGACACTGTAGTCAATCAACAATGTATTTATATGTTCTATATTTATGAATGAAAATTACTCACATTCACGATTTGCATATGTTGGTTCAGTTCCAAAAAAGGAAACAGCAAAATAAAACGCTAACGTACTACAACAGAACCAAGTCAACTAGTGATCTGAATTGGGCTGGTCTTTGAGAATATATACAAAAAGTTACGCAAATAAAGATATTAATGTTGAGTTTAATTAATTTCATTTAACCTAAATAGGCAGTCTAGACTTAAAAAGGTTAGTCCATGAAATTAATAGTTTTACATTTAAATTGTAAAAAGGTCGGAGTGAATACGGAATGAATCTAGCGAAAAGAAAACAACGACTACTTTGAAATGTATTTTGTGTTGGTTCCACGGAATCAGCTATAGTTACTGATACTCGATAGTTTACAATTAAAAAACCACAAAACGTTAAAAGTTTAGTAACAAGAACAGATAAGAACATGTTGATAACGAAAACTGCAAAAAAAACGATCGCTATTAAGATGTTTTTTTTTTTTGTACTTTCATAGAATAACAGTGGCAAATGTGCGTACTATTCATCTGGTGATAATAAGATTAAGTAACGGCTGTGCCTAATCCACACAAACATGTACCTTCTTTTAAGAATCAAAAAATCGTGTAAAAGTATGCTTTTTGGTGCTAGCAGTGATGAATAAAAAATTTCTCTTAATAAGCATTAAGTAAAAAAGTATATAGCATAAATTATTTTTATTCCATTCTGTTTTCCTTTACTTAGTCATAATTTTTTTACGTGGTAGAGTTATGCTGCAGCTATATTAATTGTACGTAGCGTACGTATTATTGTAGCACGCATGTGTCGGCTCGACTGGGGAAGGACCACGCTCTCACGAAATACCAGCGTCAAATAACAGCTTGATGCTGCTGTGTTTCGTGTGGTGAGTGTAGAGAACCGGAGTCCTTTTTTACTGGAAATGAGGCATTCCAACTTAGTCCTCAAGGCTGACAACGCATCTGCCTATTTTGATTCGCAAACGAGGATAGATGTAGATTTCTATGGCCTACAGAAACCACTTACCATCAGGTGGACTGTGTGCTCGCTTGTCACATTATTCCTATAAAAAAAATTCCGTCAAGAAATTCTCAGTACCTGTCCAGAGCAAGGAAGTTGACGGTGTCTCACCTCCGTGCCTCGAAAAGCACGTAAAGCCGTTGGTCCCGCGTCTGACCTCTCTCTGGTCGTGTCAGTTTACCATCCCATCGGATTATGAGAGTGAGGGAATAGAGAGTGCACCTGTGCTCGCGCATACACTTGGGCGCTATAATCCTGTTCTACGCCGATGACTAGTCTCTGTTAAGGCAAGCCGCTGTGACTGAAATTCGGTCTGGGGGACATTAAATTTTTTGACTAAAGTTACTCTCTTGATGTTAAGTGGTCAGGAAGAATTAGATGGTAAATCGTACTACTTGTGTCTTACTTTGCAAACGGACATAGGCAAATTATACCACTTCTTTTTTGTATGCGTTACAAAGCACACGGATGAGTAGAATGTCGGTATCTTAGAGTAATAATATTATGGAGTTGACAACAAGGCTGTGCAAACATGCCAACTTTCTAATTGTCTATTCTTGTCAATTCTATTTAAAATTGTTCACTGCTACTACAAGCATCAAATATCGTTTATAATGTTTCTTAATTTATATACGTTCACCGTTCATTTGAAATTGTAAAATATTTGTATACCTACATACAGTGAACGTAATAAGTTTTATTTTTTAACCCTTTAGCTCGGAATTTGAATTTGAAATTCTTTGCTCTTTTTTTTCAGATAATGACCAGTTGGAGTCGAACTTAAAACAGTACGGTAATGACCATTCGTAGCATTTAATTTTTTTTAACGAGGGTGTAAGAGAATACGCTACCCCATATCACCCCTAAGGTATCGTAAAAGGCGACGGAGGAAAACTGAAATAGGAGATATCACTCCAAATAATAATATAGAGAGACATTATTAATTTGATACATAATATACTAGTGGATCGGCCCGGCTTCGCGTGGATGTTTTCTGGGCATCGACAACAGCGCCACTTACCTGGCAAATCTTTGAAATTCTCGCCTTTTATCTACTATAATATGCGTGTAAGGTACGTGAGGGTAATGTGGTCATCTTAAGCTTTGCTGCCTTATAAAAATGAAACTAGGAGAAGGACAAAGACAAAAACACAAAGTCGTATACTATAACTTATATATTAAGAAAAATAATAGCAAACAAGCTTAGGCAATAATTAGGAACAATTCGTAAAATTATTTTAAAAAAACTAACTACACTACACAATACTAAAATCGACTAAAATATTTACTACAGTGTCAACTGTCAAAATGGCGTCGATGAAGCAGTGCCCTTTTTAAACCATTATTATTTGATTGACTGATGAAGAGCTATCGTAATATACAGCTATCTATGCAAACAAGGCTGTAGTGGTTGCGTAATAAGAAAGTGATCATATTAGCCGGATGATCATATTACTCTCACAACTATAACCATCCATATAAACATTCCTCTTGAATCATTCTGTCTATTGATGAGAACCGCATTAAAATCCGTGGCGTAGTTTAAAAGATCTAAGTGTACAGACGGCGGGAAGCGACTTTGTTTTATATAAAGATACGAGATAAACCACCGACATACAGTCTAACAATTTGAGCAAAAGACTTTGTTCAGCAAAGACTCGACTTCAGACACAAGTTTGTTCCGGTACTCGGCGACGTTTTCTTGAGAAATATTGGCACGGTCTGTGTATAGAGCAACACCAATGCTGCCATCCGCATAGCAATGAATGTTACCGGTTTGCAACATATCACTGATATGCAGAAGAAACAGCGTTGGTGATAGCACGCAGCCTTGTGGAACACCAGTGTTGATAGATACACATATTAATAGACAGTTTGTACTATATCACTATCCAGTGTAAGATAGGTGTAAAATATCTAGTCAGTAACTGCAAGCATCGTCAAATGTTCAAGACGTCTAATACTGCGCATTTCAATCTGCCTGGCAGTCGTGTCGATTATGATGGTTAACTCTTCCTCCAATGAGACCAGTAAAAGATGACAGCTGGACATGGGTGGGCCATGTCCAGCAGTCATCTCTTATGGGCTGGTAAAAATATAATTACACATTTGACATCATCATTACCATCACAACATAGGCCTAACCATAGAATACTATAATACACAATAGAATGGCTGTGTTGACGGACAGATTTTAATACATATTCACTTGTAAATAGCGTGCAATTTGGCATTTTCTAAATAATTTGCATGCGAAATTTCGAAACGATTGTAACGTCAAAACACATCGTTGACATTTATACGTGTGAATTGACGTGTTAGTGACATTTTAGTGGCTACATGGGCTCCGCCCACTCCCCCGTTCTATTATGTATGTATTATAGAATTCTATCGGCCTAATAGTTTTTCATATAGTCATGTAAGTTGACAACCGCAGTCTTTTATTATTTTGAGTTGTTTCATACTTGATAGACACGCTGCAGATATATTATGGTTGTAGCACGGATGGGTCGACTCTACCGTGAAAGGACCACGCTCTCACAGAATACCAGCGTAAAGTAGCAGCTTAATATTGGTGTGTTTCCTATGGTGGTATGGTGTAGAGATTCGGAGACCCTTTTTTACTGGAAACGAGGCATTCCATCTTAGTCCTTAGGGGTGACAACGCTACTGAGTTTTGATTTTTATTCGAGGTTATATGTAGATGTCTATGGGTCACAGCATCCACTTAACATCAGGTGGACTGTGTACTCACTTGTCACCCTAATCCTATAAAAAAGGAAGATGTTGTCTATCTCTTGTTTTAGTTTCCCCCTGATTTATAATATTTATATTTTATATCAATTTACATTTTATTTATAATCAATAAATTTTATTTTTATTGTAATTTATCGTGATAAGATTTCAGAGATCAGCATTTCGGTTCACGCAGCCGTAACCCGGCAGGTACGATAAGGTAGATGAGACCGTAGCCGCAAACCACGGCTCTATAGTTTTTAGGGCTTGTCCTATTCATGCGACTGATTCACGCTGGCGTACAGCTCTGGAAGCAGTCTGGTCGCGCGACTCAGCGATTTTACGATACTACGCGCAAAATAGCATTCTTAAGCCATCAAGTATTCAATAGAATATGTAGCTAAAATCCGCCTGTAACGATACGCGACTCAAATCCTATAAAGGCGGTGTTGTATGCAATAATATTTTCACGCATTTTACAGAAAAATTGAACAAGACAAGTACCATACTTATGTTTTTAGACTTATACCTACTTTATTATTATGAAAAACAGATTTCATAAAACAAAATTTTTCATAAAAAAAATATTCAAGGAACACGAACTGATACACGACCGTACAAAACAGTTACTCTAAAATACAGCTCACCGTCGCTAATATTCAAAGACTCGTCACGTCAAAGCTAAATCATTGTCCCTGGAAAGCGACAGAAAACAAAAAAATAAAAAAAATTCTTGACTTAGAATAAAAACGAAGATGCGTCGTTTCCAGTAAAAAGGGTTTCAGGTTCTCTACCAATCCAGCAATAACAATCTGCTATGTTACGCTGATATTCTGTGAGAGCGTGGTCCTACTCCAGTTGAACCAACCCATTTTTGATACAATCATAATATAGCTGCAGTGTAGCTCTACCACGTCTAAATTCGTACCATGCATGAAACGTACGTTATCGTGTGGTCGCCAAACTGATCAACGCGACAACGTACTCAATGCGGGACCCGTGTAATTACAACTAAGTATTGTTGTTATATTCAGTCGCGCACAAGATGCGACTGACGCCTTGAGATGGACACATAAATCATGAAAATATGCACCGTGCATATTACCAACACGTGATGCCACAACACACTAGCTACCAGCAGTGAAAGTGTACGGTCGTATTCTATGCATTTAATAAATAACAAGTGAGTTGAAGTAATTTACATGCACGAATGGCTCGGCTCGCCCGGGGTAGGACCACGCTCTCACAGAATAAAAAACCAGCGCAAAATAACAGCTTAATGCTGTTGTGTTTTGTATGATGAGTGTAGAGAACCGGGGATCCATTTACTGGTAACGAGGAGGCATTATTCGGGAGTGACATTTTAATTTTTAACCGAGGATATACGTAGATCTATGGCCCACAGTATCCACTTACCATCGGGCGGACTGTGAGCACGCTTGTCGCCTCTATTCCATAAAATAAAATATTCGCATCTACCATGGCCAATTTTGACAGTTGGAAAATCGAAGTGCTACTTAATAAGCAAACTTTATCACCACTGTAAATGAAAAAGAAAATATTGATGTGTTACAGAGTTGAAGCCCGATACCGAAGGAACAGTTTACTACGATGGCAGTGTCCACGCTAGTCAAATTGGTAAGTAAAGAAAACTGTTTACAAAATTGAAACAAATTAACCAAATGTGCATTTGGACACTAGGGTTCCGCTGTCTAGATTCTCTAGTCTAATATCTTCTAGAGTTTAAATGAGACAGTGTTCACTACATTTATAATATTATTTATAATGGTATTTAAGAGTAGCAAGATCCAAAAAAATTTAATTACTGAAATAAAAACATTGGAGTTGACCCGTTGCATGTTGACATAAAGTTTGATATTTTAGAAAAATATATAAAATTGAAGTGACAAAAGAACTTGCAGTCCGCCTGGTGGTGAGTAGCCACTACAACCCATGTACACCCGCAACCAACTTCAAAAAAAAGTTCTAAAGTTGCGTCATAGCAAAAACAGACTAGTAGGATAACTCCAAAAACAGAATAGTAGGAAACTTAAATGCCTACTGTTACAGGGTTCCCACAGTCTTTTTATTTAACAGCTTAGTCTCATTTAGTTTTATAAGTAGTTATAATAATTACAAACATAATACGTACGGATCCTACCTATGTATCCTATTCGTTAATAATTTCTTTAGTTTCCTCTCAAAGAATCAATATTTGTCTAAACAATTCTAGCTTTACATTACAACAAATGACAAATAACTAAAAAACGAGTAAATTAACACTGATCATATGGTGTCAGCTCAGATTTAATGTTTAATATTACTTTTATCTGATGTGATATGATAATTGATGTACTTATGAGGTATGTATCTATGTATAGATATAGTAATGTAACTTATTAATAAAAAGCTAATTTACTTAAACAAACGCATATATTAATTTATTTTACAAAAGAGAAAATAAAACGAAAAAAAGACTGCTAGCAAAATTTTATTAAAAGTCAACAAAGTCTCAAACAAAGGTGAGCGTCCCCGACTCGGCCCGATCTTCCCGACTTAGCAAGTGTCGTTGTATGCTTGTGGCTCATGCGTACGTACTGTCACGTGCCACAGCACGCACACATATTAGTGGCGATCATTACATTTCCTAAAAGATAGCCTACTATTCTGTTTTTACTATGGTTGCGTTGACAACACTTCGGACTAATACGGAATTTCTCATACCTAGTAATTATACTGGCTCTCTATACCCTTTAGACCGGAACACAGCAGTGCACGTACTGCTATTTGGTAGCAGATATAGGTGATAGGAAAGTACGTACAAAGACGGACTACCAGACAGAAAAGGAAATTTTTTTTCTATCACCTAGTAAAAAATTACGCTCTAGACTAAAAGGAGTTTATGAAACCTAATTATATCTACTACAACCTTTAATAATTCATTCACTACGGGACATAAGCCTTTTCCACTTCAGAAAGAATTTGTCTTCACCCTCATGCTTGTTGGGCAGAGTGCTAATCCTAGCAACAAATTTTTATGCGTGATAGAGCCATGCTGCAGTTATATTAGTAGTATAATTGTAGCACGAATGGGTCGGCTCAACCGGAGAAGGACCACGCTCTCACAGAATACCAGCGTCAAATTGTAGCTTATGGCTGTTGTATGTCGTATGATGAGTGTAGAGAACTAGTGACCCTTTTTACTGGAAACGAGGCATTCCATATTAGTCCTCACATGCACTGCATTTTGATTTGTCATCGAGGATAGATGTAGATGTCTATGGGCTACAGCAACCACTTACCATCAGGTGGACTGTGTGCTCGTTTGTCACCCTATTCTATAAAAAAGCAACATAATGTTTTTTGTATGGTGCGTGACGAGAACCGGAGACAGTCCTCAGTGGCAACGTATCTTCATTTTTAGCCTTTATCGAGAACAGGTGAAGACGTCGATAGGACCACAGTAACCATTAGACATCAAGTGGACTGTGTGCTATTTTGTCGCCCATACTTCAATAATAAAGATTTTGATATTCCACACTGTCGCTGATCCAAATATTCTACGCCTGGCATATACAAAATGGATCCTTACGAAATATTATAAGAATAAAACACATTTTGACATATGTTAGGATAAATAAAAATTACGTCTCACATTGTTTGTCCGCGATGAACATCCTAAACTACTGAACTGATTCCAATGAAATGTTATATGTATTGCTTGTTTCAACTTGAGAGATAGGATAGTTGTTATCCCGATAAGTGATCCTCATTATTTTTTATTGTGAATTTAAGGAGTTTTATAGGACAAAGGGTCATTAAAAGGTATATTTTCCTTCACCACCGAGCATGTGGTAAATCAGCACTTAAAATTGCAACTAACAATTTCATGGGAATCGAACCCAGATTGTTCTCATACTATGAAATTAACGGCGAGTGCTTAGCTCCTGAGCTACCACGGGTCTGACAGTTTTTAGCCAAGCAATAATCCTGGGCTACGTTAACGATTATATGAACCTGGTGAATTTCGGCTAAACCAAACCTTTATCATTTCTATCGGGTACAAGACGGCTCGGACAGCGAGGGGATTTCGGACTTATTACCTGGTCTAGACAGTGATTCGCGTGTGGACATTGATCCCATCGCTTTAGACTTTCACCAACGGCGGCGAGCTTATGTGCGAAGGTACTATTTTTAATTTAAATAAATATATTTTTAGGACTCGATCATATGCTAAATTTTGAGGGTTTTAAAAGCTTTATGTTATAAAACCAGCTTTAGATCGTTAATGCATAGCGATCTCCATCCACGGTAAGCTCTACGAAATTATTGATTGATAAACATTCTCAAAAAAATATATAATTGTAAATATAAGGTAAAGGAACACCTGCGTGAACTAGCTGTTTAATGTTTTTTGGTATGGTGAGTGTAGAGAACCGGAGACCGTTTTACTGTTAACGAGGCATTGTATCTTGGTCCCCAAGAGTAACAACTAATTCTATCTTCTCTAGCTTCTACGAGATATTTTATTTAGCAACGGCTATTTACCTCTCGGTGGCTAATAAATCTACTTAACCGAAAAAAGAAATCTCTAAAAACGATTATAGATTTAATTTTTTTAATAAGGGTGACAAACAAGTCACAGCAATAGTTGTGAATTAATTATATTACATCCAATATTTTATAATGATGACAAAGTATCTAATAGTTCACCTGAATGCAGACTTAAATGAGATGAATAACACCTTATAAACGTTTGTATTAAAGAAATGGAGAATAAATAAAACTTTAGTACTTTCTTAATCTTGCCCCTTACAAATATTTTTAATTTTCTAAAAGTTACAGCCTATTAAAGTCCACCACCGTACATAGACTCAGGAAACACAGTTTTTATTTTGAGTAGTTATAAGAAAAACGCAACTGAATATCCTGACTGGTTTCCCTTTGAGCCTCTTACGACACGACGATATGGGATACTTCGAGACTTATGGGACACGACGATATGGGAGGTTCCATACCATCATACAAAGTTTATTAGTATGTGGGAACTTTTTTTATTTATTTTTAAATAGGGAGAATGTTAGTATTAGTGTTAGTTAGAGTTTCTTCTGTTTCTTTTTTTTTTTGTTAAATTTATGCATTTGAATTTTATTTGCTCATATATATTTATTAGCCTCTTCTATTCCCATATTGGAGGCTGTTATTGGGTCTTTTCCAGCAATTAAATAAAAACTAATCTTACAAATTATATGATTAACGATTTCAATAAAAATTATATTATTGATAAAATCAAAAAGTTCTAAAGTTAAAAAAGTTCCAAAAAACCTAAAATCTCTAAAGTTCGGGAAGTCTGTGTGCATAGACAATTATCTATTTTCCTAAAAAAATGTAACCTACTGGATATCTTTCAGTCAGGGTTTCAATCCGTCTTTTTATTAAGATCGCAGATGACATTAGAAAAAAGATAGACGAACGGAAAGTTATAGTGGTAGCTTGTTGACTTTCTAAATGCTTTTATCACAGTCGACCACGATATCCTCCCGCCCAATTTTCCGAATCTGAAATCATACCTCTTTTATAAAATAAGGGTGACTTGATGGTAAGTGGATATTATGATGTGGCCCATATAAAGTAGACATATACATCAATCCGCAAATAAGAATCAACATGCAGAATGCGTTGTCAACACTGAAGACTATGATAGAATGCCTTGTTTTCAGTAATAAGAGTCTCCGGTGCTCTACACGCACAATACGAGATACAGCATCATTAAGGTGCTATTTCACGCTGGTATTCCATCAGTACGTGATCCTTCCCAGGTCGAACCAACTCATTCGTACTACCGCTATAATACAACTGCAGCAAGGCTCTACCACATAAATATATCTGCCTAAAGACTATATGAGATGATGAATATCCAGATGAATATCCTTAAATGCTAATCTTATATTTAATTTTTCAGAATAAACGAGGACATAATGCGGCGGTTGGGGTAGTTTATTAAATATTAAATTATTGTGTATTGCTTAGTTATTGTGAACAATTGTTAAACATGAGTTAAAATGTATGTACTTATGTTTTTTATTTAATTAAATGCAATTTTGTTTATTTATTTTTATTATTTTTTATCATTCATTAGAGTCTATTAAAAGTCTATCTAAAGAGTATAGTCCATCAAAAGGGGTTTTCTAACAATAAATTCGGGGACATCCATTTATACGTGAGGTGTTGGTGGGGGAATCTCACCCAATCTCACGTGGAAGAGAGTCCACAATTATCACGTAATTTTTTTTCCGCAAGAAACACTGTAAAATTTCGAGAAATTTGGGTTAAATTAAGTAAAACATGGCAAAATTCTACACAATAATATTTATAACGGTTGTGAATCCCTCAAATTATATAAAAATAATTGAGCAAATTATGTTTTTTTAAATAAACCCAACGCAGTCCAGCACATTATTTTTTATTTATTTGCCCTAAAAATACAGCGCACAGACAGGTGGATAATCCTGTCCTGCGAAGATCACAGTGTCAGACTAGTGTCGTTCAGAATAGCCGTCGTGACTAAAATTCGGTTTGGAGGAAACATATTTCGTGGTCTACATTTTTTTTATTTAGAAAAAGGGTGACAAACGAGC